GTAATGGCAGAACCTGAAGCCAAAAGACTACCCACTGACAAAGACAATCTGTTGGCCTTTTCTATCAAGGACTGTGATAATCAATTCTGATTTTTTTTTTTTTTTTGACTGACTGCTTCCCTTTGTAGACCTCTGTCTTTCTCACATGCTGCAATACGATTAGTGGAGAGGGATAAGAGAGCAAGTTCCTCAGTGTTGCTCCCGGACTATCTTATCCCTCTCCCTCCTCACTAAAAAGTCAGCTCTTGCCTCTAGATCATCCAACTGCTTTAGTCATTCACTGACCATCAGATCACTCCCTTCCATTTGAGGACTTCTGCCCTTGGCTAATTTTCACTCTTTTACAGCTCCTGTCATAATTCTTAATTTCAGTATGTTCATAGATGATCTATTAATAGCCTGTCTTCTTAGTTCAGTAACCTCTCTCCTTCAGTGATCTTTCTTTCACCCTCCCGCAACCCCTCATTCCTTTGGTGAAATCCTTGACCTTGTTATTACCAATAACTGCAATCCTTTTATAACCTCCATTTCAAATACTCCATTCTCCAACTACCACTCCTATCTTTTCAGTTTACCCCTGTTGTACCCAACAATCCAAAAACCCTTTGAACTCCCCCATTCCCTAGACCTATTGTCATTACCTCTTGATTCTACCACATTTCCACCGTCCCTCAGCTCTTGTATCTTCACGTCTCTCTGTACTAGCTAAAATTTTCTTGTCAATCATTTATACCTTTAACTACAATCCTGGTTACATACAACTCTTCATCTGCACACATAAAGCTGAAAATGGGTAGACAAAAAAGCAAAGCCATGCTGACTAGTGTCATCTCATGTGAACCTTTATGCCAGCCAGCAATCACATTATATATATTTCCACAGTGAAGTCTACTTGTACATTAAAAGACATCTGCTAAGGGGAATATTCTAACAATTCTCTCTCCTGTCTTTCATATCATCAGTTATTCTTTCCATTGGCTCGTTCCTATTAGCATTCAAAACATTCTATTACCTGACCCTATCTTTTCCCATTGCTTTATTTCTCCTTCCTTTTATAGCAAGACTACTTGAAAGAGTTGCCTACGGTCAGTGTTCCAAATTTCTATGTATTTTTTCTGGACTCCATTTCAGACTTAAGTGCCCATCATTCCATCAAAACAATTTATCAGGTCACCACTACTCTATACATGGGTAAAACAATTAACAGTTCTTAATTTACCTGAACACCTATTGCATCTGACACAAATTATGACTTTTTCCTAAAGATAGAAACCCTTTCTTAACTTGGTTCTGGGACACAGCACTAATCTAGTTTCCCTATTTTCTTGGTCACTTTTCCTCATCTTCTAGGCTACTGAAAGTTGAGAGGTGCTCTAATACTCGGTCACATTTTTTATTTATATTCATTCTCTAAGGTATTCTACTCTGATCTCATGGCTTTACATCCTATTTATATGCTGCTAACTCCCAAATTTCTCTCTCTAGCCAGGATACCTCTCCTAACCCTAAACTTGTATATCTATCTACCCGACTACCCAACATCTCTTCCTCAAGGTCTAACATGCATCTCCCAAATGGAATTCCTGATGTCCCCACCAATATTTGCTTCTCTAGCAGTCTTGCCCATTCTGTTAAATGACAACTCCAATCTTCCATTTACTCAAGACAAAATCCTTGAAGTTATCTTTTACATGCCACAACAGCAAATTATGTCCAATTTACCTTCATAAATCTGACCATTTCTCATCACTCTGGTCTAAGCCACCATTATTTCTTATCGGCATTACTCTAATAGCTCCCTATTAGGTCTCTCTGCTTTACTCTTACCTCCTTCTACTCTGACTCTTGACAGCTCCTTCTCACTACAGAAGTCAGGATGATCCTTTTTAAGTGTAAGCCAGGATCATCATGTCACTCCTCTACTTAAAGTCCTGCAATGGCTTCCCTACTCATTCTGAGTAAAAGCCAAAGTCCTTAAAATAATTAATGAGGTACTGATCAGCCTCTATTACTTTCTGATGTCATCTTAAACTACTCTAGCTCTTGTTCATTTTGCTCCAGCCATACTGGCTCCTTGCTAGTCTTAGCACACGTCAAACATGTTCTTGCTTCAGGGCCCTGACATTTTCTATTCCCTCTGCCTGTAATGCTATTCCCCCTAGTGAATTACAAGGCTCACTACTTCAAGTCTTTAATGTTTATTTCTTAGTTAGCCTTTTCTAACTATACTACCAAAAAATACACCCAACTGCTTTTCTGTTTTCTTCTTTCCTGATTTGCTTATTCTCTTTAGCTCTTTCTACTATACCGCACAGCATGTATTTCGTATGGATGTGTACATATGGTTTATGTACATATTTATTGTGTGTATATACATGTATTTATATACTCTTTCTCTGTACACACAGTATTTTTCCCACTCCAAGTAAAAGATACTCCATCATGAGGGCAGGGATTTTTTGTCTGTTCAGCCCAGTGGCTAAACTAGTGCCCAGCACATCATAAAAGCTCAGATATTTCTGTTGAATAAATGAAAAAATGAATTTAGACATAGTAAATAATTTCTTATAGGTTATAGTAACTTCAGAAATACTGTCATTATTTCATAGTAACAGCTATCCACTAAAGTATATCCTGGGGGGAAAAAAAAATCACCCAAGAGGACACTACATATTTATGTAATAAACAGAATTATGGAAACTAATAGATCCACTCTACCCCCTTAAAACCTTTAAAAACTGGTCCAGTTTTCATAAAGACAAGAAGAGAAAGAAATTAAATGACTTTTGAATTGCTACAAAAAAAGCTTTCACTCTAAGTGACAACTCCCTGAAAAAGTGAAGTCTTTAGTTATTAAAATAAAGCTGGACACCATACAAATTACCTGGTGAATGAATGTCATGAAGTCCCTTCTAGAGAATAAATCTTTTATCACAAAATTGCTGATGCTAAACTTTATTTCTGCCAAACTACTACAGTGTTTCATCTGATATTTCAAACCATTTTAAAAACCAAGTGACTGAAAGAGATGACTTACAGAAAAATAAAAATATACCAGAGATATTAATAAGCTGATCTGTATAAGAAAGTGATAAATTATAATGCATTTAAGAATAAGGAATATAAATTCTTTGTAGAACTGTTACTTGTGTGAACAATGATGACTAAATTTGTATATTATTTTCAAGAATTGGGGAGGAGGGATCCCTATTTCTTTTTCAATGAGATAAAGCACAGTAAAACCGCAGGAGGGGGGGGTAGTAACAGACTCCTGGAGACAAAGAGGAATTTGAAGATATTTCAGATCTGAAGACAAACTGTTCAAAACAGGTACTCAAACAATGACCCTCACTGTCATTCTTCCAGCTGGGAGTAAAAAAAGAAGTGAGAAGCATTATGGAAAGCAGTTTCAGTCTAAGACCAAAATTATTATAACATCATGTGAAAGCATTTAAAAGAGTGCTGTGAACAAATGACGCCTGATATCACATAAAATATTTTAACCTATGGTTACGGTAAGTTATTAGTCTTATAAAACATGTAAGTTGGGAGTGGTGCACAACTCTTGATTTCAGAGTCTTAAACTGAAGACATTTAGAAGGGACACCCAATTAATACTTTTTCCTCTCAGAAATTGTATTAAATGTTCTTCCTAAGAAAATGTTTTTAATGGGCATAACAAGATTTTTAACACAAAAAAATACCCTTTTGGGATGAATACAGATGAAGAACCCTTGGTTAACACTGACAAAGCATTATTGTCAGGTAGCTGATATAGTACAATTATTTTCAGTATATGAGGCAAATGTACTGAGAAATGCAACACAACCACCACTATCATAAATGCCTAGCTAGCAGTCCCTGCGGAAGAGAAGACAAAACAACAAAAACACCAGCATAACCCCTCCCACACCCCTCCTCATTGTTTTGACAGTTATTTCTCACTCTTATGGACTTTACCACACACACAAAAAGATAAAGTAGGTTTATGTAGTTTATGGGATGTGGGTATTGGCTTTGGCCACCGTGTCTACAAGGTAGGAACCGCTGCACTCCTAATCTCATGCAGTTTATACAAAGACAGGGAAAACAAGTCACCAAAAAGAAAGTGCCAAGTACTATAAAAGCGCGAAGCTAGAGGCGTTGAACTGGGAGATTACTTGGGATAACCGAATACACGTTGCTCTATGAGAAAAGTAGAGCGACAACTGCCCATCATTTCTATAAAGACGGGGAACGGGTAAGAAGGATTCGACTTCATGGCGGCAAAATGCCATGACTCATTCCATAATCACCAGAGAAGCCGTGGAAGAAAAGGCCACGACTTCCTATAATCAAATACGCATGTGTGACAATATGTCCATTTCACTGTGTCAGGGTAAGGATGGGGGAAAAAAGAGGATGCTTTAAGTTCTGAAGTTGCCTTCTCTGTCCGCTCTCGGGCAAGAGCGTAGTAAAGGGGGAGTGGAGACGGTGGAGTCCGGATCTCTGAGATGGCATCCAAGTCCATTCTGGTAGCCCCTGCGCGGGTGGCGAGCAACAGTGGCCGAGGTCCAGGTCAGCTGGAAGGGAAGAGCGACGTGCCTCCGAGCCCTCGGCGGCGCCCCCGCTCTGGCGGTTCCAGCTGTCCCTTCCGAGCCGGCTGCCACGCGCCGCTGCGTTCTCCGCCGCCGACACCGGAGGCCTCACCAAAGGCTCTCAGAGAACGTCCCTACAGTCTTTAAATCGTGTGAGGCCGCAGCCAACGACCAAACTTTCCTTGGCTAGTTACGTACCTGGAGAAAACGATCCCCTCGCGGAGGGGAGCTCAGAGGCCAAATCAGTTCTTCCTTTCACTTCTCATCCACACGGCGTGTTCCTACGGCCACCGGCCAAAATGGCGGCGCTCAGCCACCGCCTCGCGCATGCCTTACGGACGTAGTGCGCGCGCGAGACAGAGAGCGACGGGCGGAGCCCTGGAGTTGGTCCCGCAAGCAGGCGAGAACTGACGTCATTGTGTTGCGACTCCAATTTAACGTCGTTGGGAAAGCCGGGCTGTCCTGAGTGGGAGTGGCACGGAGCCGCAGGGTATCCTAAAAAGCTGGGTTGCGGCAAGCCGGGTCTGTAAGCTGTAAGTGCGTGGGCTTTTTTCCCCCGATGTGGAGAATGGTTCTAGCGTAAGCAGACGCGTTCTCATCCCCATTCTCAGTCCCTTTTTCCGCTCCCGATCTCAAGGCCGCTGGAGAGCCATTGGCCCATTCTAGCATTTCTAGCAGCGGTATCAAGCAGGACCAACAGAGTCTGGTCCAAATACAGCTGCTGATGGCGATCTTTCGTTGGCCTCAACTTATTCTTAAGTGGGTGGCCAGGAACCCAGGCTTTTCCGAGCTCCGTGTTTTATCCACTGGGTGGCGTCCAGTACCAAGTCGGGCAGTTGAGTTCTGCTCCAGTACAGAGATGAGCTACTTTCTTTTCTTCCTTCCTTTTTTTTTTTTTGGTACAGTTTGACGTTTTGGAATGTTTGACAACGACAGGATATTCAACTTGTAGTGATAGTCACAGGTTTACTTGTCTCATCCTAGTCCTTAGCTTGCAGAAGGCAAATACTTTAGCTTACGACGGCACTTATTCATTTATTCATTCAGTAAATTGCTAATTGAGCATTTAAGTCTCAGGCCTTTCTGAATTTTACAGTCTAGTGGCTCTACTATTATTTAATGAGTATCAAGTGCTGTGTGGAGATTAGGAAACAACTGAGATCTAAAAGGTGTCAAGGAGATGGTATACTGAACTGCTGGGCCAGGTTTATAATAGCATATATAACCATGTTCAGTGTCTGTAACTTTGCACTACCTAAGCTGTTTTACATATTGTTTACTACTGGAGATTTTATTTTCATGCCTGCATAGATTTACCAAGATTAACAAGAAGTAAATTTTGGGGTTTAGAATGGGTCGTTTTTTTCACTTCTATGCTTTGAAACCGTTTTTCTGACATTATCTTCTATGTCATGTAAATGGAACTTTTGACACCTTGGGAGAAGTGATTTTTCTCTGTATCACTTAATGGGTTATTTAAAGATTTTTTTTTTAATTTATTTATTCATGAGAGACAGGGAGAGAGAGAGGCAGAGGGAGAAGCAGGCTCCCCGCGGAGCAGGGAGCCCGATGCGGGACTCGATCCCAGGACCCTGGGACCATGACCTGAGCCGAAGGCAGACGCTTAACGACTGAGCCACCCAGGCGCCCATTAATGGGTTATTTAAAATGGAGACCTATATCTCACTGTGGTTTTGTTTGCATTTCTCTGATGATTAGTGATGTTCAGTATCTTTTCATGTTTCTGTTGTGAGATAATCACGTTATGCCTGTCAGAATGGCTAGAATCAAAAAGACAAGAAGTAAGTGTTAGCAAGGCTGTTGGAGAAAAGGGAACCCTTGTGCACTGTTGGAGGGAACATGAATTGGTGCAACCACTGTGGAAAACAGTATGGAGGTTCTTCAAAAAATTAAAAATAGAATTACCATATAATCCACTAATTCCGCTACTGGGTAATTTACCCAAAGAAAACAAAAACACTAATTCAAAGAGATATATGCACCCTTGCATTTACTGCAGTATTATTTACCTTAGCCAAGATGTGGAAGCAACACAAATGTTCATCAGTAGATAAATAGATAAGGAAGATGTACACACACAGACACACACACACACACGATGAAATATCAGCCATAAAAAAGAATGAGGTCTTGCCGTTAGCAACAACATGGGTGGACCTAGAGGGTAGAAGACAAAATGAAATAAATCTGATAGGGAAAGACAAATACCATATGATTTCACTAATATGTGAAATTTAAGAAACAAAACAAAAAAATAGACTCTTAAATACGGAGAAGAAACTGCTGGTTGCTAGAGGGTAGGTGGGTGGGAGAATGGGTGAAACAGATAAAGGGGATTGCGAGTAGACTTATTGTGGGGCACCTGGCTGACTCAGTTGGTGGAGGGTGGGACTCTTGATCTAGGGATTGTGAGTTTGAACCCCACATTGGGTGTAGAGATTACTTAAAAATAAAAATTAAAAAAAAAGAGTAGACTTATTGTGATGAGGACTGAAGAAATGTATAGAATTGTTGAATCATATTGTACACCTGAAACTAATATAACACTGTATGTTAATTATACTTTAATAAAAAATTAATTATTGAAGTAAATTTACATTCAAAATAAGTAAAATGGAAACATATTTACATATTCCTGGAATAAGAATATTTCAATTTAACTTTTCTAAAGAAAAAAATCATTTGAATTAAGAATTTTTACTCAGAGGGGAGTCTGACTGGCTCATTTGATGGTGTGTGCAACTCTTGATCTCAGGGTTGTGAGTTTGAGCCCCATGTCAGGTGTAAAGATTACTTAAAAATCTTTATTTTTTTTTTTAAGATTTTATTTATTTACTTGACAGAGAGAGAGAGAGAGAGAGTGCACAAGCAGGGGGAGGGGCAAGGGAGAGGGAGAAGCAGGCTCCCCACTGAGCAGTGAGCTGCACATGGGGCTCAACCCCAAGACCCTGGGATCATGACCTAAGTCAAAGGCAGCCACTTAACTGCCTGAGCCACCCAGGTGCCCCTTAAAAATAAAAGCTTTAAAAAATTTTTTTTTTACTCAGGGATAGAATTATACAGCATTATAGAATTATAGATCAAGTTGACCCCTATTACAGGTAAGGAAATAAAACCCAGACCTGCCCAAAGTCTAGGCTAAAGGAGAGGCTGAAGTTAAAACTCTGATCCCATGCCCTTTGGCTACTCTACTGCTTTGCACATCTTGTAAGTCATAATATATTTTAGAAACAAAAACTGAATTCCCAAGATTTTTTAATTATAGTAATTGAGTTATGTTACCTGCATTTGAGAAATAGATGGTTAATATCAAGGGTATATAAGTGATATATTTTGCTATTAAATTTTAATTTTTACCCTTTGTAGAAGATGCTCAGATCCTGGTATAATGTGGATATTCTTGTTTTCTACATAGAATATTTAAAAAATGACCACACCAAACAAGACACCTCCTGGTGCTGACCCTAAGCAATTGGAAAGAACTGGAACAGTACGGGAAATCGGGTCACAAGCTGTTTGGTCACTCTCATCTTGCAAACCAGGTAAATCAAAATAAAACAAAAAAGTTGTTTGTAATAACTACTTAGAGTTTCCTTGCATGCTAGACTGATTTTAATATTCTTTTTTGTTTAGATGCTTGATTTTAATTCTAAAATAAATTTAATTGAGTTTTCATTTGTTATATATCTGTTCCCAATTGCTTTACTAATATCCACTTCGTATTTCATAAGGTCTCTTTTATCCTCCTCTATCTCTGCAATGATTTAGTTATTTGGTGAGCATTTTTTGTTGGCTGTTTCCTAGATGGGGTAAGTGGGTGATACATTTTTTGAGTAATTTGGTATTCCTAAATAATTTTATTTTACTCTTGGTTGGGATAGAATTTTTGGGTGGCAGTCCTTTTCTCAAAAATTTGTGGGAACTATTTCAGCATTTCCTTTTTGTTACAAATAAGAAAGCTTAAGCTTATCTCTCTTTTTTTCTAAGTAACTTGTTCTTTCTTTCTGGAAAGCATTTAAACTTTTTCTAATCTTAAAGTTTAAGACTTTTGCCAGGATATGCCAAGATACATGTGTATCTTTTCTCATCTGTCTAACTTATAATTTGATGGACACTTTCAATCTGTAGACTTAAGCTCAGAGAAAGTTTTTTAGCTTAAGGAACTTTAATTATAATGTTATTGGTTTAATTGTCACTTTTCCTTTGGAAACTTGTTATTTACACATTAAGACTCCTATAGCAATATTCCTAAGCAAACCTCTTTTTTTCCCCTCAAGATTCCTTTAGCTCTCTTTTTATAAGTAATTTTTGAGGTATAGTGTATTTACAATAAAACTTGTCCTTTTTAGGTGTATAGTTGTATGAATTTTAACAAACACATATGATCGTATAACCACCATCACAATCAAATATAGAATATTTCCATTATCCAAAGAAATTCCTTCATGCCCTTTTGTAGTCAGTTTTCTGCCCCCTTCCCAGCTCCTGACAACCTTTGATCTGTTTTGTATCCCTTAGGTTATGCCTTTCCCAGAGTGTAACACATCATACTGTATGTAGCTTTTTGGCTCTGGCTCTTTCACTTAGTATTTGTGATTTTTTTCTATGCTGTTACGTATATCTGTAGTTTGTTCCTTTTTATTGCTGATTACTATTCCACTGTATGGATGTACTATAGTTTATCTACTCACCAGTTAACGGATATTTAGGTTTGTGGTAACCAGCTTCCAAAATGGTCCCAGTGATCCTTATCTCCTGGTATTTGTGCCCTTGTGTTGACCTCTCCTGCACTGTCAGGATTGGTGTCTGGAACTAGTAGAATATGGCAGAAGTGATAGTGTGTGATTTCTGAGATTAGATTGATAAAAGACATTGTTACTGTGCCTTGTTCTCGTTTGGATCACTCACTCGGGGAAGCCAGCTGCCATTTTGTGAGGAAACAACGGGCCCCGTGGAAAGGTGTGTGTGGCAAGGCACTCTGGCCTCCTGACAGTAGCCCATGAGGAACTGAGGCTCTTGTCAACAGCATATGAGCAAGCCATCTTAGAATGGATCCTCCAGCCCCAGTCAAGATTTCAGATAATTCCTTCAGCTAACTTGACTGCAAACTCCTGAACATCCCTGAGCCAAAGTGCTCAATCAAGCTTCTCCCAACTTTCTATCTCATAGAAATTGTGAAATAATGCATGTTTGGTGTTTTAAACTGCTGTTTTGGGGTAATTGTAATGCAGCAATAGTTAACCAAGATTGTTTCCCATACTAGGTGATTATGGATAGAGCTGCTGTAAGCATTCATGTACACATTTTTGTGTGGGCGTATGTTTTCTTTTTTGGGGTAAATACTTAGGAGTAAAATTCTGTAGAATTTGTAGGAGTAGAATTTGTTTTTATTTCTTCATTCCCAATCTATACCTTTTATTTCCTTTTTCTGTCTTACTGTGTTAGGTAAGACTTCCAATATGATATTGCAGGGGAATGGTGAGAAGGGACATCCTTCTTATTCCTGACCTCAAGGGGAAAGCTCTTAGGTTCTCACCATGAAGTATGGTGTTAGCCGTCGGCTTTTTCATGGATAGATAAAGTTGAGGAGTTTCCTTTCTATTCTTAGTTTGCTGATAAATTTCATGTGAATGGATGTTGGATTTTGTCAAATGCTTTCTCTATTGATATATATTTTTTTCTTCTTTAGCCTGTTGATATGGAGGATTACATTAATTAATTTTGGAATGTTGAACCAGCTTTGCATGCCTGGAATAAATCCTACTTAGTTGTGGTATATAATTCTTTTTATATATGGTTTCTATTTGCTAGTATTTTCTTGAGGATTTTTGTATTTGTGTTCGTGAGAGATACTGTTCTTTCCCTTTCTTTGTAATGTCTTTTCTGGTTTTGGTATTAGATAATGCTGCCCTAATGGAATGAGTTAGAAAATATTTGCTCTGTTCTGTTTTTTGGAAGAGATTGTAGAGAATTTGTATCATTTCTTCCTTACATGTTTGATAGAAGTCACTAGTGAAACACCTAGCCCTGATGATTTCTTTTGGAAGGTTATTAATTTTTTATTCAATTTCTGTAATAGATGTAGGACTATTCAGATTATTTCTCCTTGTGTGAATTTTGTTGGATTGTGTCTTTCAGGGAATTGGGTCCATTTTATTGAAGATACTAAATTTGTGGGAATAGAATTGTCCATAATACTCTTTTATGTTCCTTTCTATTATCCATGGAATTAGTAGGGATGGCCCCTCTTTTGTTTCTGATATCAGTAATTTGTGTCTTCTCTCTTTTTTTTCTTGGTTAGCCAGGCTAGAGGTTTATTGATTTTGATCCTGACCTTTTCAAAAAAAATAGCTTGTGGTTTCAGTGACTTCTTCTCTTTTAACTTACCTGTTTTCAGTTTCATTGATTTCTGTTCTGATTTTTATTATTTCTTCTGCTTATTTTGGGTTTACTTTGCTCTCCTTTTTCTTGTTTTTTAAGGTGAAAGCTTAGATTACTGATTCTAAATCTCTCTTCTTTTTTAACATACATACTCCATGCTATAAATTTCTCTGTAAGCACTGCTGTCACTGTATTCTACAATTTCTGGTAATTTTAATTTTTTCATTCAGTTTCAAATATTTTACAGTTTCTTTTGATACTTCTTCCTTGATTCGTAAGTTGTTTAATCTCCAAATATTTTGGATTTTCCAGTTATCTTTCTGTTAGTGATTTCTTGTTTAATTCTATTGTGTTCTGAAAGCATATTTTGTGATTTCTTTTAAATTGTTTATGTATGATTTATAGGCCAGAATGTGGCCCATTTTTGTGAACATTATACATAAGCATGACAGGAATAGTGTATTCTTGAGAAGCTTTTATATTCTTTTGTCACCGGATAAACTAATCTATAAATGTCAATTTGATCAAGCTGATGGTGCTATTCTGTTCAACTGATTTACTGATTTTCTGCCTGGGATAAAGGCTAAGATTCAGAATTTAAAATTGTTTAGGTATCCTTGGTTTTTTTTTTTTTTAAAGATTTTATTTATTTATTTAACAGAGAGAGATAGTGAGAGCAGGAACATAAGCAGGGGGAGTTGGGAGAGGGAGAAGCAGGCTTCCTGTCAAGCAGGAAGCCCGATACGGGGCTCCATCCCAGGACTCTGGGATCATGACCTGAGCCAAAGGCAGACGCTTAACGACTGAGCCACCCAGGTGCCCCAGGTATCTTGTTTTTGTTTGCCTTGTTATTTTTGGATTTCCTTAGAGACTAATTAAATGGAGTATAAGTTTATAGTTCTTTGGATTGTAATCTCCTGGTATTATATAGGAGCCCTATTGATACCATGGTAAGTTGTAGGGGGAACAGAAGTGTTCTATAATCCTGTGACTAGATCTTAGTCTTTTAGTGGGCCTGTGTCTATGGCTATGACCTTTACAGGTGCTTCTCACTCCCCCACCCCCTAACTTATGTGAGAGACAGAAAGGCTGGAGGAGTCTAGAGTTGGGTATTTTCCTTCCCCCATGTCAGTTAGGCTCTAGTAAAAGCCATGTTGGTTAGACTCTAAAGTGGTTTTCCTAAAAGTCAGGTCTTTGTTAAAGAGAGCAGAATGCTCTGGATGTATTTCACAATGATTACTTTCCCCCCTCCCTCTGCAGGAAGCACTGGAGAATTTTCTTTGATCTTTACCCTGAAGGGAACCTGATGGGGCTCCTAGGTAAAATTCATGAAGAGGTAAAGCTCTTCTTAAGGTAGGGCTTCTAGGAGTTTTTATCTCAACCTCGTCCATACTCAGTGGCCAGCAATTAGTCAGTTAGCAATTACTCTTTAAGTTTTCCTACCAGTTGCTGCTTCTGGTAAGCTGTGATTCTCTGTATTCACCTGTTTCTTCAGTTTCCTGGGTGGTGGTTTGCCCTGTGACCTCAATTCTCTGTTGGACCTAAGAAGTATTACTGGTTTTCATTTAGTTAGCTTTTTTGTTGTTGTTGTGAGGATGAGGGTGATACTTTCCAAGTTCTTTACATGTCAGACTGGAAGCTGGAAGTTGTTCCTTTTCCTTTTAAACTATATATATATCTTTATATTTGAAGTGGATTTCTTATAGACAGCATTGGGTCTTGGTTTTTAATTTAATCTGATATTCTTTGTCTTTTCATTGGGAGTGTTTAGATCATTTACACTTTATGTATTGATACCATTAGATTTAATAATACTGTCTTGGAATTTGTTTTCTTTTTTTCTTGTTGATTTTTTTTCCCTCCTTCTCTGTTTTTGAATATACTCAGTATGTTTTATGATTCTGTTTTATCTTCACTGTTGACTTGTTGGTTATATATCCTTTTTGAAATTTTTGAGTGGTTGCCCTAAGGATTACAATATGTATCTTTAATTTTCATAGTTTACCTTCAAGTAGTAGTACACCACCATAGATATGGTGTATGACTCCTTCAGCAGTATACTTCCAGTTTCTCCACCCAGTCCTTTATGCCATTTGTGTCATACATTTTATTTTGGATATTTTAAGCTGCAGAATATATTGTTGCTATTTTTGTTTTAAAT